TTACCCGTTAAGAAAAATATATTTTAAATCAATAAAAATGAAAATGAAAAACATAATTTGACCCAAAAAAATGTAAAACATAATACTAAATTAGTATTACATACTAAATTTTGAAGTTGACCCCTTCGTGAAAGTTGTAAAACTTTTCATTACGAGTAATTACATTTTTCACACTTCTACAATAATTTTTATTAATTTTTCACTCAAATAAAAAACACTGTTTATGAGATTTGGAGGGTTTTAAAAATCTAAACGACCATGTAAAGCATTGAGGATGCAATTATGAACGTTTATTATGCTTTCACATATTTCATACTTATGCATTAGTGATTATGAATTTTGTTTATTTTGAACTCCTTTAAAAATACTATTCATGAGAGTTTGTACGGTTTTAAAAATTCAAACGATCATATACCCATTTTCAAAGCGTAGAGGATGCGACCGCGAGCGTTTGCATTTTTTTTTTTCATATTTTTCACACATGTAAATTAATTATTATAATTTTTTTAATGTGTTTGGTATTTTTAAATTACCTGATATTTTTATTTTTAATGTGTTTTATGATTTTTAATCTCAATCTTGCCTATAATATACTATAAAAACAAATAAATAAATAAAAATAAAAATTTAAAATTTATATAGAATAATAATTAATAAACAATATAAACATATTCATTATATCTATTGTATTTTATAGTAAGTATTTTTAGTAGTTTAAAAAATTAAAATCATCAAAATAACTTTTTTCTTATCGTGTCGAAACAGGTTACCCGCATATCACTCACGTGTAAACCTGTTAAGGACCCGTTATTAAGGGGTTATTATCGTGTGACCTGATAATGATCCGATTAGTTATCGTGTTAACCCGGTAGTCTTTTTTTTTTTATGAGAACGAGAAGGGCAAGTGACTGCAACGTTTTTCGACCTATTGGGTGGGGGCCACGCCACAATAACCCCCAAAGCGATCTTCTTCTAGTTGCGGGATGAAATCCGGCAGCCATTTGCCTGCGCGATTAGTGCTTCCCTCGGTCGTGTATCACCTTTGTGTGGACTCACATGCATAGGTACACTAGAAAAGAAAAAAAGGTTTGAAGTGCAAGAAGGCCTAGCTGTAAGTACTTCCCTGGTATCCAACAAAATGAAGTGTAAGAGACTAGTTGGCTGGCTATTGTTCCTAGAGTAGTGTGCCCTACTAATACTAATATAGTAAGAGAAGCGGATGCTCTTCCCTCACTAGGGTTCTACTGACCGAGGGCGAGTAGCTTCCCGTCCTTGCTTATGCATCTTATTTTTAATTTTGAGCTATTTATATATTTTAAGATTGTATATAGGAACTTGTTTATCTCTTTCCATCGAGTCTCTCTTAATTCTTGGGAATGGAATCATTACCGATTCCGGACCATCTGGACCATCAACCCCCTCCTCTTTTACGGAGGATTCGTTTGACGTGTGGGTTCTATTGGAACCATTTAGCGAATCCGAAACAACAGGGGAAACCATGGTAAATCCGCCGGGGGGGGGGGGGGGTAGCAGTAGGGGTTGGTAAAAGAAACTTTGGACCAAGCTTCAATTCAGCCGGAATATAATTGCTTGCTCGAAGCGGAATCCCGGGATATTTTTATCCGGGAACTCAAGCACGAATGTGCGCGTATTATGGAATATGAGCTCTCCCGGAACCCCCATTGCATCGGCATCAGGCCCACGGATGCAATCCAGTCCTTTTTTGAGGATAAGAGGGAGGAGCTCGAGCTGGAACTGAAGGGAGAGGCTATTCGTAGTATCGACATGGCCGAGATCGAGACTCTTCAAAAGATTCTCAAGGATCTATAGACAAGAAGGAGCACATCATATTATTTTGATTCTTTTCTGCAAGAGTCTATTTTTGGCTAGATTCATTTTATCTTTTTTTATATGCCAATGATTCGGGAGGGGGATTGGTTGTGCGTGTTGACCTCCCTCCCCCTCTTTTTGCATTAGTTTCTATCTTTTGCTTTTGTTGCTGTTGTTTGGGACGGTTACATGAGATCATCCGATCTCAATGTTGCGTGCGAAATGCATTTCATGATCCGCGTTGTACGAAATTTTTCTCCGCATTTATATGTCGTGTTAATTGGTCGTGTAAGAAATTACTAAGTAAAGGTGACTCAATTTGGATTCTTTCGTTGCCTTATATGATAACGACTTTACTTATATAGAGAGTTCAATCAGAATATATAAATTGGAAAGGGAAAGATAAAGTGTTTAAGTGCTTAGTGTTGAAATGACAATAACAATTTAAAAAGAGAACTTGTATTAAAATGGAGGAATACCTGTAAAGACACCTGATGCAGACTGCACCCCACCAGATCCTCCGAAATGATATAAAAGTAGGCACTTGCTTTTTTATCACTGCTCAGTCCATTCCTTTGAAGCCCAACGCGTCAACTTGGAGCCCTTCCAAAATATTTTGGTTCAACTTTAGCTTAATTGCACAAAAATCTCCCAAAGTGCCATAATTTTGGCGATAGACCCAAGCAAATGAAATTTTGGCAATTTTTAGGCACAAACATAAATAGTGGATTATCTTAGTAAGTAAGGTCATTTTATTTAATCTACTGCATTCTGAATTTAAAAATCTGTCATCTTCTTAATGTATATTATGAGGGTGTAGTCAAATTATAATTTGATAGGATTTTAAAATACTTTAAAATCTGAATGTATTAAAATTTTAAAAGAATTTGAAATTATAGTATAATCAAATTAGGATTTAAAAGGATTTTAAAAAATATAGCAAAATTCGGAAGTAGTCGATTAGGATTTTAATAAGTGAGGAATTTTGATGGATTTGAGAGTGGATGGTATAAATACCAAGCACCTAAACAATCCAACCTCCACCCTAGGATTTCATTTCAAGACCAAAACACTTTCTCTGGTGAGGAAGAAGAACCATCTCTCAAAACATGAAGACGACAACATACAAAGCTCCTTTATTTCTCAAATATCCACCCAATCCAAAAACCTACCACAAATTCAACCCCCACAACCCTAATTCTGCTATGTATATTACTTCTCTACCTTTGTTGTCGTTTTTTTTTTGTTTAGCTGGGTGTTAACTCCGTTTGGTTGCCTAGAAAATGTAGGAAATTGTTGGAAAATGGAGGGGATAGGAGGGATTGGAGTATGGGATATTGGGGTTTTGCCAAGAAAGTTCAAGATATAATAAAGGTCATGGTTGAATTGGTTTGCCTGAAATAACTCATAGACCTTGAGCGGTGCTACTGAGTTTCTGCTTTATTTGGCTACCAAATTAGATCATGGTTTTGATATAACAAATTCATGGTTGAATTAGTATTTGTATATAGATTAACCATTTACAGAGCATGGTTTAATTGTGGTGTGCGTATATAGATATATCATATGTAGAGCATGGTTTAATTTGGTATGTATGTGTATATAGATTAATTATGGTGTTAGGTTAAACAAAATTTGTAAACTAAATGATGAGTCACTAGTAAGAATGAACACATTTATTAACACTTAAGTAATAAATTAAGCGTCAACTTTCATGTCATTTAATTTCCTAAATTTCATCTATAAATTTAGTCTCCTTAGTATGACCGTTAAAAAAAATTCATGGCTTGATTAGTATTTGGGTATTTTATGAATTTGCTTATATGATTAGCATGTTTTCATGAATACAAACTGCTGTGTTTTTAGCTGTTTAAAATTGATAATTGGTTAATTGTGGTATGTGTTTTTAGCTGGTAAGAATAATGGGAAAGAAGAATTAGGCTAGGGCTTATTGTAAATGGTCGGCTGGAGCAATTGAGCTTTTTTTTACTATTATTTATGCAACTAGAGTTTATAATTACAAGTCAACAACCTATTGAACGTCTTTTAAATCGAATAGTAGTTACTATAAAAGGATACAAATATATACTTATATTATCTTTAAGATATATCGTTGAAACCATCTGTCTTACTTTTGTTGAGATGCTTAGAATGATATAAGGTAACTCTTGCAACCGAATTGTTACTGAGTCTATGAGCTTTGTTTTGGTTAGTTAAATCACAATTCAAACGACAAGGGGAGACGCCTATCTGATTGGTTTATATTTGTATATCAATATATAAAAACGTTTATCCTCATTTCTTCATTTTATATTATAGGAGTCAACTAATAATTAATTTCTAAGAAATTCATGAAATATATCCATACAAATCTATAAGACCAACTCCAACCTTTGGAGTAGGTCTTAAATTTCCCCTTCTATTCCTTTGCGGCCCCCCCCCCCCCCCCACCCCCAAAAAAAAACAAAAAAAAATTCTCCAACCCTTTTTCTAAATTGGGTTAAGTGTTAAAACTTAAACAAAACTCACATTCCCCCCAAAAATTTAGCCCAAAATTAGTGGTAGAGCCTACATATGAACTTGATCAAACACTCAAAAATCACTCTCAGAGGCGCCAAACGCGGCAGCCCAACACCAGCCAGACCCCACTCAGTCACTCACGTCGGTGTGTCCCCCTCTTGTCGGCCGTAACAATGAGCCATATGACTCTTTTTCTGATACAACGGCCACAATTCAAATGGACCAACCGTCCAAATTTATATTTGTTTTGTTTGTTTTATATATATATATATAATTTCATTGAATCCAACGGCTGATATTTAATATGATCAAATCCAACAGCATAAAAAAGATCTAACAGCCCAAATTTAAATATAACAGCGAAAATAATTTATTTAACTCAAAATTCACCAAAATTTAGTGATTTTTTTTATAATATTTATCGAAATCTAAATATTTTTAGGTTAAAATGTTCATAAAATTATATTAGGATAGTGTACATAATTTTTTTTTTTAAAAATTAATCAAAAATATTAGCGTAAATTTATTCTTTAATAAGGGCTAACAAATTTAAGCCAGAATAATTGAAGCAGAAAAACTGTTTATAGGTTAAAAAATTTTAGGTTTTACTCTAAGATTTGAAGATGGTCTAATAGAAATTCACATAAATCAATCAAAATCCATATAAGATTGTAAAATACATTAAATTTTTTTGAAATAAGTCACATAAAAAAATTCATTACAATGATCTGAAATACAAATTGACGATACCTTTAATGTAGAATATCGTTTTATTTTATACTAATTAATAAAGATTTTTATTTTGAATGCCAACCGTTTCACGCCAATTGTATTTTTACCACGTATTCACGCAAGTTTGAAGAAACAATGAGCAGATGCAGCCTCTTTTTCATGTGTTACTAATCTGACCAACCATTATTATATTACTCTCTTCGAAATTGGCAACGTTGACCAAATACCGTGCCAAAACTGCAATAGGCTACGCGTTCAAAGACGCAAAAACCCAGCAGAGGCAGCACCAGAAGGAACCGAGAAAATTTATCATTTCTTCTTCGCAGAAAAAGCATAAAATCTGTTCTCACCGTCAGAACAGACGAATCAACTTTCTCCAACTGACACGCGTTTTGATTCTTAAGTACGCGTGCGTGGGTGCGTGTATATATATTGATGCAGATGTTGAGAGCCACCACCAAGATTTTGCCATATCTTTCTTCTGCAGACAAAGGTTCTTCTGCGTCTTCTGTTGTCGCCCATCATCATTATTTAACAAAGAGGCCTTGCTTTGGAACTCTTTCACCTTCCTCACCATCCTTGCCTGGCTTTCGCAAAGGTGGGCTTCAGGTTTATCTTTACATTATTTTATGGGTTCTTTAGATATAGACCCTTGAAACTCCTATTTTCCAAATAAAAACCCATCTAAATTTAAACATTCAAATAAAACCCAAATTTCAAATAGCCTACCATGTAGACAAATATATGACCAACTATTACAATACAATTACAACTTATGCCATAGAATCCTAATTTGGTCAATAAATGTTATTACTCATCCTAATTATGATGAGCAATTAAATCCATATGGATATTTTACCTTTCTTGTATCATAAATATTAGCAACATATATAAATTAATTTACCAAATTTAAAAGAGAAAGACAATCTTGTACGGAAAAAATAATATTGTTTGAATTATGTAATTACTTACATACAAATTAATTTACCTACTTATAAAATATTATACTAATAAACCTGCATTTTGAATCATGTAATTACCTACATATAAATATTATACTAATTTACCAACATTTAAATTAATTTACCTACTTATAAAATATTATACTAATTTACCTACATTTAAATTAATTTACCTACTTATTAATATTATACTAATTTACCTACTTATTAATATTATACTAATTTGCCTACATTGAAATTAATTTACCTATTCCAAATTATGAAATTAGTATTATTATTTTTCAATTAGCACGTTATAACAATTTGAAAGTTAATACATTGAATATACAATGAATGGCATGAATTATTTTGTAAAATATATAAAATTAATTAAATGGATATAACAAGTAACTGATCCAAAAACCCCATCCAAGTATTAATAGGGGTAGTTTAGGCATTCAAAAAATACACAATTTGAAAAGTCAAACTTAATTAAAGAATTTGTTTGATTGAAGGTTAGTCAATGGGCTTTATTCAAGAAAACAAAAGGAGATGGGTTTTAGTAGAGGAAAATATAGTTTGTAATATCAAATTTTCAGTTATTTTATTCGAGCAATATTAAATTATGTAAACGTATTGCATGGTCTAATATTTTAGTAGATGGGGTATTGAAATTCTACTCGTACATCTCAGTTTGAAACTGCTCCTACCGTTACTGTAATAGTTTCGGATATTTCCCCTCCTTAATAATAGTAAGGGTTTTATCCCAAAAGATCTATGAAATTGACCCACTTCATCAAGATAGTCCATAAAATTAAAAATCGATTCATGAAGCCCTGAAAATGAGTGTCACAATTCAATGTGGTACTTTCATTAAAAGTTTTAAAGAATTGTTACGGAAGAAATGTATTAATTTGCGATATCCATTTTCATATTACAATGATCGATTCTCAATTTTAAAACTATTTGAGATAAAATCCTAATAATAATTAAAAAATTGATGTTAACGTAGGCACATGGAAATTTCAAATATTGGAGGCACTACTTATTCGTCATTTGAAACGCATGAGTTTGTTTTTTGTTTTTTTATTTTTATTTTTTTTATTGTAGTGGTTGGTCGAAATAAATGTTGATGTGTGACTTTCGCTTATTTCTTCAGATTCAAAAGATAAGTTCCACACTTGATTCAAGCCATGTCGGTTTCAACGAATTCACCCTCCGTTGCACAACAAGCCGTGCCTGAAAATGAAGTCGAACAAGTTGAGTTGCTCGCTGCAGTTGAGGATTTATATGGAGGAGTTGTTGTGGACGTGACCGAACCTATTGATTCTGCGGTTTTCGCCTCTTTGCTCCAAGCTTCCATATCGCAATGGAGGCAAAAGGTTTGTATTCGTTGCTTTTCTTTTCTTCAGGACCGGTGCAAAGATTTTTCATGCCACAAAAAAATGTGGCCTAACTTTATTTAAAAAAAAAAAAATAATTGTTTTTACACAAAAGACTTCGATAAAATTATACTTAGAAAAATAATCCAAATTCAAACTAATTTAGAAACATGGAAAAACTAATTTACTTTGTATCGACAGAAGGAAACCAAAAAAACTCGGGGTTTGCAAGTAGATAGATGATGAGTTTTGTTCTTCTTCTATCTGAACTTTTAAACCTTTTGATAACATATCATATGATTTGCAAATTTGGTTTACACATTACCCTTTGTTAAAGGTTGGAGTTAAATTGGAATTAATGTTTAAAAACCGCAACCCACATAGCTACTAGCTAGTATTTAAAAAGAAATTAACAACCAAATAGAAACCTGTGAAAATTGAAAAGAATAAACATGTACATAGCATTTTGAACTCAAGACATTTCGTTAATTTTAAACAACAAAAAACATTGCTTCTAATTAAACTTCTTAATCATTTAGCCAAATTTTATAAATTTATACTCTTATCAAAAGAAATTTGTAAAAATTGGAAATTAAATAAGCAAACCGCCTCATTAATTTCAAACAACAAAAACACCAGTTTTAGTTAAATTTCTTTGTTATTAACTAAATTTTATAAATTTATACTTTTATGAAAACAGAAATAAGGCCCTGCCCTTCTTCGATCTCGTTAAATGTCTTGTGTTTCCCTTGATGCTGACGATGTGAAGGTTGTTTACTTGTGTTTTGTAGGGGAAGAAGGGCGTTTGGATCAAATTGCCTATCGAACGGTCAAACCTTGTTGATGCCGCAGTTAAGGTACAAGAGATTCTACTGGCCCAACTCTTCTGAATTACCTCAAAGATATTCTTGATAATTATTTGGAGCTGTTAGGAATGGAACTTGTCTGGTAGTCTTATTGTTTTTATCAACCATCCTTTTCTCTTTTCAATGTTCTTGACAAAAGGTATTAGTATAATCGCACAATCCGGCACCAACACTCGGGCTGGCTGCATAATTAAGTATAGCTGTTTTGTTCTCTGATGTCCGACAACACTCGGGCTTCTTTTGTTACTTGTGCAGGAAGGCTTTAGGTACCACCATGCTGAATCAGATTACTTAATGCTTGTACGTTGGATTTCCGAAACTGATGATACTCTCCCTGCAAATGCTTCGCACCGAGTGGGCATTGGCGCTTTTGTCATGAACAGTAAGAGGGAGGTATACCTTCTGCACATGAATCTAGTCTTCCTTTTGTTCTGAACATCTATGACACGTAAAAATGAAAGTTCAAATTTTTAACATTTTGCTTTCGTGCTTCTGTTTAACGAGAAAATAGTGAAAAGTTTCTAACATTGTTTGCTCTGAAACCTGCTATTTAAAAGAGATTTTCAAGCCATGAATTGGTCCTTTTATGTACTTTTCTGTGGTGGTTATTAGCTTTTAGATTAGATAACCAAAGAGATAGAGTAATGATATTCATAGTAATCGAAAACTTATAAGGAAAATTTCTTTTAATATACATGCTAGATGCATATTGCGTTCGTATTTGCATAGACAGTTTAACAGTTCTAAATCAGAAAATAGGATAGGCTGTCCTGTTTCTGATAAAGCATTTGTAGTTCACTTTGACATCATTTTAAGTAGTTCTCTAAGTTTCTTATGTTGATGTCTGTTCCTACGACATTATGTTTGCTTTGCCTACTAAAATTGTTCGCTCGGGTAGGTGCTTGTGGTTCAGGAGTTAAGTGGCAGATTCAGCAATACAGATGTGTGGAAGATGCCAACTGGGGTTGTCAATGAAGTGAGTAAAAACACCAGCACAACTATAGCAAAATCATAATAATTTTCAAATACGTTATCATCATGGATTAAATTTTATCCATCGACAGGGTGAGGATATCTGCGAAGCTGCTGTTAGAGAGGTTAAAGAAGAGACAGGAATTGATACGGAGTTTGTGGAGGTTTTAGCTTTTAGGTAAGAAACTTGCCTTCGGATTGAATAAGTGTTGTATATAATTCTACAGAAGCCCCTCTTCATATTCTCTCCATCTCTCTACAGGCAAAGCCACAAGTCATTCTTTCGAAAGTCAGATTTGTTCATTGTTTGCATGTTGACCCCAAAATCCTTTGACATCCAAGAGCAGAACTTGGAGATTGAGGCAGCCCAGGTAATTTCCCGGGACACAAAAAAAATCCCCCATAGAGTATAATCGTTAATCTTGTTTAAACTATTTGGTGGTAGAGGATGTGACCATGTCTTCCAAGTGTTACAAGGTATCATTAACATGATTCAAAACTATTCTAATGTGTTATTCTGGGAATTTTTTTTTCAGTGGATGCCAGTTGCGGACTATGCAGCTCAACCCTTTGTTAAGAAAAACAAACTCTTTGACTATATAGCAAAAATATGCTTGGCAAAATCAGACAAGAACTATGTCGGTTTTACTGCGCTGGGTACAACTACATCCTCTGGAAAAAGAAGCTACCTGTACTATAACAACCGGGATATGGAAAACCTACTGGCCACCGGTGATCCTCAGTAGATAACGTTGACCTCTACTTCGATAATATATACATATATATGTGTGTACTACCGGTGATCTGCGATAGAAATGGTACCTCTACTCCATATATGTTATTGGACGAGGTCAACGTTTCTGCTGCAGATCACCAGTAGTGTGTGTGTGTATATATAGTTGCAACAACAGTTAGTATAAATTCCTAGCTATCTAAATAATGGTTCCTGTATAGATCGATGTTTTTTACATTGCTTTATACAATGATAAGCTCAATTACTTGTGTGCTGAGTCACATATTCGATTTATATGTTGATTGTTTTTTACTGCAAGCTGTATTGCTCTTCGAATTGTCGTAGGTCAGGAACCTGCTAATGGATTTGCAATTTGCTTCAATATAATAAAATATACAAGTTGTTCTATTGTATCTTGCTTTTGCCATCGTTACAGATTCATTTGCAGTTTACACCTTACATTACTGATTCGATGTGCTTCTAATAAAACAGATTTCAGAAAAGCGCTTTTGTAGGAAGGGAAAATGCATATGATCATAGTAGTTCTTTCTACATAAGCACTTCCCTAGTCCCCCTAACAGGCCATTCATGCGGCCAGTTGAAAATTGCTTTTCTAGAAAGCACTTTTGCTTATTAGAGCTTTTAACCTGCTATGAAAGGGACTAAAACACCTGTCTCCAATGGCTTTAAAACATGCTGCCTCATGCCTTTGGCATCCAGAGAATCTTGAGTTTTAAATATTTTTTAGGGTATTGTTCTCTTTTTTTATATAATAAAACAAATTGATGCCATAAAAAAATGGAAAGTGTTATTGGCACTCCAAAAATCTCATTCTACACTCCTCATAAGTGTATTTTTCTTTCTAAATATAGAAAGTTTGAAGTGTAGAATGAGATTTTTTGAATGCCAATAACAATTCCCAAAAAAATAACAAATAAAAATCCCATAGAAATATTAAAAGAAAATGACAAGTCCTTCCAGGTGAGGTTAAACTTGATTTCACAAAATATTTAAATATAAGAGGCAATTTGATTAATTGATTTTTTTTTTCCACAACAAAAATGATTTTTCATCCAAATCCATTTCAAATATAATATGGGAACGGCATGCCCTTGATCTCAAGGTCAAATCACATTTTTGGTCCTCTAATTGGAACCTATTTTTCAATTTGGTCCCTATCCTTTTAATTTTGGAAATCTAATATTTTTTATGCTAGAAATTAAGTCCTACAGATCTATATTTGTTAATTTGTTATTGTTCTTTTGTCAACTCTGTTAGAATTTCCGTCAAAATAAGTCAAGTGCCACGTATGTGAGGCTGAATCAAGAAGCAAATATGGAAAATCAAATGAGAAAAATTCTAGGAATGATCCCCTAACTTTAACCCAATTGGAAAAATGGTCCTTCAACTTTAACACAATTGGAGAAATTGTCTCTCAATTTTAACCCACTTAGAGCAATGATCCCTCGACTTTAACCCAATTGTAACGATGATCATTCCAACATGACTTATTTTGATGGAATTACTACGGAATTGATGAAAATGACAATAGCTGCACGTTTTAATGAGTTAAGAGACCAATGATTATGAATTTTTAGTTGAAAGACCATATTGCTCCAATTGGGTTAAAATTGAGAGATAATGCTTCTTACTCTTGTACTGTCTAGCCTTTTCATGGCTTTAATGAAATACATGCTGTCTTTATTCAAAAATTATATATTGCCTCATATCCATTAAAAATTCATTAAATAAATTGACACATGCTGTCAAATTTGATAGCAAAAGGTTTTGCCTTCACTTGGCATAATGCCACGTAAGAAACTAAAGGTTTAGTTAGAAGAGTTTGCTATTATTTTTTACTGTTGTATGTTTATGTGGTACTTTTAACATTTGTTTTTAAAATGCTTTTAACATTTTTCTTTCCTAAATGCTTTGAATTTTGAATCAAAAATGGAAATGGTGTTGCTACAAAATACTCTATCACGTGGGAATTGGGATTGGGTTGGTATTGGTGCAATGTTGTCCACCTTTACTCAAAAGTCATTTGGCTTTTATTTCTTCAAATGCTTTAAACTTTTGAATTAAAAATGGTGCTGCTACTAAATGCTCAAAACAACGTTGTTTTGGCCAAGTTATTTAAAAAAAAAAAGTCATCGTCCTTCTCCTTCTGTTTTGTAGAAGGTGCACTGCAATCAGCACATTGGTGGTTCTTGGAGGTCCTCATAGCCACTTCTTCGAGCTTTCGGGTGGTTCCTAAATCACCATGGTCCCTTAATAGATTCGTCTCTGCCCATAATTAATTTTCAATTTTTTTCAAAAAATAAAAATCCTTTCCTTTGAAGCTCTCTAAACAATGAATCAGGAATATAAAGAAAATTAGAGAAGTATCATATCATGCATCTTGGACACCCCATATACAGATTTATTAATAAGTCCAACTTGCCATACATGTATATAGAGAAAGGACTTATAAATAGTGTGATTTGGGTTGAGCCACCAGAAACCATATAAAAATAGTGCACAATATGAATATTACCAATCTCCTTGCATAAAAATTTCTCAGCAGTTTTTTCATTTAGCATTCTTCTAAAGAAACTTAGGCAGACAAAGTTACCCACCCTCGGCACCGGGTTTTTTTTGACTTGACGACGCGAAATGAAAGACGAAACTCTAAATTATGATTTTCTACTTAAGCTAGAGCAACAACGTAATAGTGATTTGATTTATTAAACCCAATCAAACCAAACTATACTGCTTAAACTGTTATTAACCGGTTCCGATACAATTTAAAGAATAAACCAAACCAAATCAAACCCAAAACCACACCAAAAAATATACCCTATATCGATTATGCATTTTTATTTTTTCGTGTGACATTGCCCTTTGCCAACCTCTGACCATGCATGAAACTTGTCAAAACATGTTTAAACCATGACACAAATATTGAGTGAGATTTGAATGAGTAATTTATCCCTCGTACCATTTGCATGTTCTCGTGTTTCCTTGTTGCAAGATGCAATGAATTTACAATGAAGTTTTCAGCACCAAATTATCAGATAATCTCGATAAGGCAAATATTACACTATCATGTGGAATGAGTAGGGAAACGTAATAAGAACTCATTTTATTCTGGGTTTGATTCCTGACATTGATGACTCATATGACGATGCTTAGGAAGATTAAAATATTTGTGTGAGTCTTTCTGGTACTAAAAAAGATCAACTACCTTAGCTTTGACATAAGATGGTTCTTAAAAAAAAAATAATAATAATGTGACATACTTTTCGGTCTTAATAGGTCATCATAAAGTGAATTCATTTAATAATAAAGTACAAATGTCTAACCAACTTTTAGCAGAGATTGAGATTTTTTGAAGCTTTAATCAACTTTTAACTAGCTTTTAGAAGAATGATTGGTTTGCAAGTTTTTCGCTCCCTAAATTTGTCACGGGTCTTTAGAGTAGGTTGAGATTTACTTGAACATGAAATTGGAGATTGTGAGCGTTTTACTACTAGTTACCACCAGTAGATGATATTTGAGTTATAGAGATTGTGATATTTAACTTCTAACTAAAAGGTTGTGTCATTGAGTGAAAGTGACTCAATTTAGGTTCTTTCTTTGTCTTATATGATAATGACTATACTTATGTAGAGAATTCAATAAGAATATATAAATTGGAAAGAGAAAGATAAGTGTTTTGGTGAAATGACAATAACAAATTAAAGAGAGAACTTGTGTTAAAATGGAGAAATACTTGTAAAGACACTTGATGTAGATTGTACCTTCCCAAATTAAGATTTAAGAGGATTTTAAATATATAGCAAAATTCAGGAGTAGTCGATTGGGATTTTAAAGAAGTCCACAAATGTCTAGGTGTAGTGAGAATACTAAAAATTTGCTAGGATTTTTATGAATGAGAGATTTTGATGGATTTGAGAGTGGGGTGGTATAAGTACCAAGCACCTAAACAATCCAACCTCCAGCCCTAGGATTTCATTTCTAGACCAAAAAACTCTCTCTAGAGAGGAAAAAGAACCATCTCTCAAAAAATGAAGACGACGACTTATAAAGCGCCTTTATTTCTCAAATATCCACCCAATCCAAAAACCCACCACTAATTCAACCCCCGCAACCCTAATTCTGCTATGTGTATATTACTTCTCTACGTTTGTTGTCGTTTTTTTTGTTTAGTTGGGTGTTAACTCCGTTCGGTTGCCTAGAAAATGTAGGAAATTGTTGGGAAATGGAGGGAATAGGAGGGATTGGAGTATATGGGATGTTGGGGTTTTGCTAAGAAAGTTCAAGACATAATAAAGGTCATGGTTGAATTGGTTTGCCTGAAATAGCTCACAGACCTTGAGCGGTGGTATTGAGTTTCTGCTTTATTTGGCTACCAAATTAGATCATGGCTTTGATATAAAAAAATTCATGGTTGAATTGGTATTTGTATATAGATTAACCATTTGCAGAGCATGGTTTACTTGTGGTGTGTGTACATAGATAAAACATTTGCAGAGCATTGTTTAATTTGGTATGCGTGTGTATATAGATTAATTCTGATGTCAAGTTAAACAAAAATTTGCAAACTAAATGATGAGTCACCAATAAGAATAAATACGTTTATCAACACTTCAGTAATAAATCAAGTATCAACTTTCATTTCAATTAAAGGGGTATAGTCAAACTAAGATTTAATAGGATTTTAAAAGATTTTAAACGTGATAGATTTGATAGGATTTAAGAGGATTGGAGATTCCTACAAAATTCATATGGATTTTAAAGAATTTGAATGAATTGTGGTGGATTGTGATGAAAGGATTTGAAATCCTAGGGGGTGAGGTTGGATTCTTTTTACTCTTGGTTATATATACTTTTAACTCTCAAATCCCATAAAATCCACAACTTATTGAAATCCTCCAAAATCTTAATTTTTTGAATACACTTAGATTTGGATGAATTTTAAAATACTTTAAAACCTTTTAATTGACTACACCTAAATTTGAATGGATTCTAAAATCATTTAAAATCCTTTAATTGACTACATTAGAATTTTAAAGTCTTTTAAAATCCTCTGAAATCCGAGTGTGACTATACCCCCTTAGTTTTCTAAATTTTATCTATAAATTTAGTCTCCCTAACATCACTGTTAAAAATTTCATGGCTTGATTGGTATTTGGGTATTTTATGAAATTGGTTATATGATTAGCATGTTTTCATGAATACAAATTGCTGTGTTTTTAGCTGTTTAAAATTGATAATTGGTTTAATTGTGATGTGTGCTTTTAGCTGGTAAGAATAATGGGAAAGAAGAATTAGGCTAGGGCTTATTGTATATGATTGGCTGGAACAATTTAGGTTTTTTTTTACTATTATTTATGAAACCAGAGTTTATAATTATAAGTCGGCAACCTATTAAACGTCTTTTAAATTGAAGACCAGTTACTATGGAAGGATACAATTATATATTTGTATTATGTTTAAGATATGTCGTTGCAACCATCTATCTTACATTTGTTGAGATGCCTAGAATGATATAAGGTAACTTTTGCAACCGAATTGTTACTGAGTCACTGATCTTTGTTTTGGTTAGTTAAATCACAATTTAAACGACAAAGGGAAATGCATATTTGATCGGTTTAGATTTCCATATTAATATATATAATCGTTTATGCTCATTTCTTTATTTTATATTATAGAAGTCAACTAATAATTAATTCCTAAAAAATTCATGAAACATATCCTGATATCCATACAAATCTATAATAGAAATTCACATATATCTGTCAAAATTCATATAAAATTGTAGAATCTATTAAAATTCTTTGAAATCTGTCACTTAAAAAACTTCATTAAAATCCTCCAAAATATAAATTGATGACACCCTTAGTGTAGAATATTGTTTTATTTTATACTAATTAATTAAAGATTTTACATTGAATGCCAATTGTTTCACCAATTGTATTTTTACAAGAAAATTTTCAGGATGCCCGATGCACTAGACATCTGATGTACCACCAATAAATATCCGACATGTGGCAAATCTGTTTTCTATTAAATCTCTTACTTTTTTTATTTTGTTTTGTTTGAGATGAAGTCTATGGACTCCATTAATTTTTTAGTCTGTTCATCTTCTTCTTTGGTAGATTTGTAGAGTCACCGCTTTCATCTTCTTTGCAGATTCACCCAACTCCTAAACATACTAAACCCTTTTTCTTTGCTGGGTTCAAGCCCTTGTTGGTGTTGCACATGGCGGACAGCATGACCGAGGACTTGACAGAGAGCAGGCGAGCAAAATGGAGACGATGCGGTGCCGTCGATTTTAGGCTGGTGAGGAGGGTGGGAATTATATGGACGACAAGATCTCGCCCGTTGATTTGGCGATGGAGACTCTGAAGATGGCGATGTTGAGAGTGCACAACCGACGGGATTGGGAATTAAATGTGAAGAAGGTTGTGGAGTAATTAAGTTCAAATCAGACTGTGAAGAAGGTTGCAGACGAAGAAGATGAGTTTCAAAAAATTTTAGGGGGTGTGGTCAAACTCGATTTGAGAGAATTTTACTTAAAATTCTAATGCAGTCAATTAAAAAATTTTAAAGAATTTTAGAATCCATTCAAATTTAAGTATAGTTAATTAAAAGATTTTAAAGAATTTTAGAATCCATTCAAATATAAGTGTGGTTAATTAAAAGATTTGAAAGGATTTTAAAATCTATCCAAATTTAAGTCTATTAAAAAAAATTACGATTTTGAAGGATTTTAATAAGTTGTGGATTTTGTGAGATTTGAAAACAAAAAATATATATAACCAAAACTAAAAAGAATCCAACCTCACCCCCTAAGATTTCAAATCCTTCCATCACAATCCACCACAATCCATTCAAATTCTTTAAAATCCATATGAATTTTGTAGGAACCTTTAATCCTCTTAAATCCTTTTATATCTATTACTTTTAAAATCCTTTAAAAGTTTAGTTTGATTACACCCCCTTTATAATGAATTTTGATAAAAACAATAAAAAATGAACTACTTTTCAACATAAAAAAAAAAAACAATAAAAAAGCGAATTTAAGTGGGAAGAAAAAACAAAAAGCCACGTTGCAGATGCTTATTAGTTCGGTACTCCACCTGTCATGTATGAAGTGGAGTTCCCGGAACAGGGAAAAATTTCTCTATTTTTACGACATATTCACGAAGTTTCCAAGCAAATTCATCGTTATATTACTCTCGAAACTGACAACGTTTGCCAAATACCGTGCCAAAAACTGCAAAAGACTCCACGTTCAAAGTCGCAAAAACCGGCAGACCAAGAAAATTCATCATTTCTTCTTCGCAGCCAAAGCCGAAAATGCATAAAATCCTTCGCTTCCATTAACAGATGAGAACAGACGAATCAACTTTCTCCAGCTGACATACGTTTTGATTCTTAAGTACGTATATATATGTTGATGCAGAGGTTGAGAGCCACCACCAAGCTTTTGCCATATCTTTCTTCTGCAGACAAAGGTTCTTCTGCGTCATCTGTTGTTGCCCATCATCGTTCTTTAACAAAGAGGCCTTGCTTTGGAACTCCACCTTCCTCACCATCCTTGACTGGCTTTCACAAAGGTGGGCTTCAAGTTTATTTTTATATTCTTTTATTCGAGCAATATAAATAATGTAAATATACGGTCTAATATTTTAGTAGATGAGGTATTAAAATTCTACTCATACGTCCAAGTCTGAAATTACTCTTACCGTTACTATAAAAGTTTTGAATATTTCCCCTCCCTTAATAATAGTATGGGTTCTATCCAAATGATTCATTAATTGACCAACTCTATCAAGATGGTCCATAAAATTGAAAATTGATCAATGTAGCCCTGAAAATTAGTGTCACAACTCAACGTGGTACTTTCATTAAAAGTTTTACAGAATTGTTGCAGAAAACTACATTGATTTACGACACTTATTTTCAGATTATATTAATCGATTCTCAATTTCAAAAACTATTTGTGATAAAAATCATAATAATAATTAAAAAAAATTCATGTTAACGTAGGCACATGGAAATGTCAAATAATGGAGCGAATACTTATTAGTCATCCTCTGTCTTCTAGCAATTGAAACTCGAGTTTTATTTCTGAGGAATTGTAGTCGTTGGTCGAAATAAATGTTGATGTGTGACTTTCGCTTGATTCAAAAGATAAAGTTCCACACTTGATTCAAGCCATGCCGTTTTTAACGAGTTCATCCACCGTTGCACAACAAGCCGTGCCTGAAAATGAAGTCGAACAGGTTGAGTTGCTCGCTGCAGTTGAGGATTTATATGGAGGAGTTGTTGTGGACGTGACTGAACCTATGGATTCTGCGGTTTTCACTTCTTTGCTTCAAGCTTCCTTATCGCAATGGAGGCAAAAGGTTTGTATTTGTTGCTTTTCTTTTCTTTAAGGCCGGTCCTGAGATTTATCAGACCCGGACGACACCAAAAAATGTGGCCTCACTTTATATTTCAAACCACAAAAACACCTGTTTTAGTTAAATTTCTTTGTTATTAACTAAATTTTATAAATTTATACTTTTATGAAAACATAAATAAGGCCCTGCCCTTCTTCGATCTCGTTAAATGTCTTGTGTTTCACTTGATGCTGACGATGTGAAGGTTGTTTACTTTGTGTTTTGTAGGGGAAGAAGGGCGTTTGGATCAAATTGCCTATCGAACGGTCAAATCTCGTTGATGCCGCAGTCAAGGTACAAGAGATTCTACTGGCCTAGCTCTTCTGAATTACCTCAAAGATATTCTTGATTAATTATTTGAAGCTGTTAGGATTGTAACTTGTCCAGTAGTCTTATTGTTTTTATCAACTATCCTTTTCTCTTTTCAATGTTCTTGACAAAAGGTATTAGTATAATCGCACAATCCGGCACCAACACTCGGGCTGGCTGCATACTTAAGTATAGCTGTTTTGTTCTCTGATGTCCGACAACACTCGGGCTTCTTTTGTTACTTGTGCAGGAAGGATTTAGGTACCACCATGCTGAATCAGATTACTTAATGCTTGTACGTTGGATTTCCGAAACTGATGATAGACTCCCTGCAAATGCTTCGCACAGAGTGGGCATTGGAGCTTTTGTCATGAACAGTAAAAGAGAGGTATACCTTCTGCACATGAATGTAGGCGCCCTTTTGTTCTGAACATATATGACATGTAAAAATGAAAGTTCAAAATTTTAACATTTTGCTTTCGTGGTTCTGTTTAACGAGAAAATAGTGAAAAGTTTCTAACATTGTTCGCTCTGAAACCTGCTACTTAAAAGAGATTTTCAAGCCATGAATTGGTCCTTTTATGTACTATATTGTGGTGGTTATTAGCCTTTAGATTAGATAACCAGAGAGATAGAGTAATGATATTCATAGTAATCGAAAACTTAAAAGGAAAATTTCCTTTAATATACATGCTAGATGAATATTGCGTTGGTAATTGCATAGACAATTTAACGGTTCTAAATCAGAAAATAGGATTGGCTGTCATGTTTCTGATAAAGCACTTGATATCATTTTAAGTAGTTCTGTAAGTTTCTTATGTTGAAGTCTGTTCCTACGACATTATGTTTGCATTGACGCATTCTATCTTTGCCTACTAAAATTGTTCGCTCGGGTAGGTGCTTGTGGTTCAGGAGTTAAGTGGCAGATTCAGAAATACAGGTGTGTGGAAGATGCCAACTGGGGTTGTCAATGAAGTGAGTAAAAGCACCAGCACAACTATAACAAATTCATAATAATTTTCAAATACGTTATCATCATGGATTAAAAATTTTATCCATCGACAGGGTGAGGATATCTGCGAAGCTGCTGTTAGAGAGGTTAAAGAAGAGACGGGAATCGATACGGAGTTCGTGGAGGTTTTAGCATTTAGGTAAGAAACTTGCCTTCGGATTAAAGAAGTGTTGTATATAATTCTACAGAAGCCCCTCTTTATATTCTCTCCATCTCTCTACAGGCAAAGCCACAAGTCATTCTTTCGAAAGTCAGATTTGTTCATTGTTTGCATGTTGACCCCAAAATCCTTCGACATCCAAGAGCAGAACTTGGAGATTGAGGCAGCCCAGGTAATTTCCCGGGACACAAAAAATCCCCCTTAGAGTATGATCGTTAATCTTGTTTAAACTATTTGGTGGTAGAGGATGTGACCATGTCTTCCAAGTGTTACAAGGTATCATTAACATGATTCAAAACTATTCTAATGTGCTATTCTGGGAATTTTTTTTCAGTGGATGCCAGCTGCGGACTATGCAGCTCAACCCTTTGTTAAGAAAAACAAACTCTTTGACTATATAGCAAAAATATGCTTGGCAAAATCAGACAAGAACTATGTCGGTTTTACTGCGCTGGGTACAACTACATCCTCTGGAAAAAGAAGCTACCTGTACTATAACAACCGGGATATGGAAAACCTACTGGCCACCGGTGATCCTCAGTAGAAAACGTTGACCTCTACTTCGATAATATATACATATACATGTGTGTACTACCGGTGATCTGCAATAGAAATGGTACCTCTACTCCCTATATGTTATTGGACGAGGTCACCGTTTCTACTGCAGATCACCAGTAGTGTGTGTGTATATATCAATGTATTAAAAGCGTGAGGCGTGGGCGAGGCGTCGGAGGCGAAGCCCGGCCTAGGCGTAAGGCGTGAGGCGTGAGGCGTGAGGCGAAGCCTTATAGGATTAAATTTTTTTATATATATATGATTTATATAGTATACATATAATTGTATAAAAAATAATACTATGTAAAATAAACATCCATTCTCAATTTTATCATTCAAATCCATAATCATTCAAAAGATAATATCATCAAAATTCATTATTCAAAGATAATATCATCCAAATTCGTTTAAAATTGGAAACCTTACTATAAATCTGAAACGAAAAGACCTATATCCCATTTTCCATTAAATAGGCAACCTCATTTGTCAGTTTCATCTCCTCCCCCTCATTGGACAACTTTCCAAACAAGTCCTGACTTTTTGATGATGCGAGATTTATACGCACACAAATTAAACCCTCTTTTTGACAATTGTAGTAAGTATGTAAGTAGGGATCGTTCAGGACCGGGGATTAGGAGGGATTGTTAATCACTTGGATTTCACTCAAAAACGTAAAAACACAATATAAAACACTATACTAGACTCAAAGAATGCAAAACTAAACTTTAAAACACTAAAACAAACCAAAAGACTCAAACAGCACCCAAAACACTCAAAACTGCCTTAAAAACACTTTCTGGGCAGTTTTGAGCACTTTGAGTACTTTGGACGAATTTGGGTAACAAATTGACTCAAAACACTTATAAACACAAACCAAAACACTTTCTAACTAATTTGAACAATACAAAGACTCAAAGGGCTCAAAACAAGTTCAAAAGACTCAAAACTGCCTAAAAACACTAAATATGCAGTTTCTGACCTTAAACCCAAATTTGGACGAAATTAAGTTGTAACTTGACTCAAGACTCTTAAAAACACAAACTAAATTGATTTCTAACTAATTTGGACATTAAAGTAAGGGGGGATTGAGTTTTGGACGAAATTAAACTAAATGCACAGATTCTAATTAAAAACAGAATGTAAGTATGAAATTGATGGAATAGAATGGATGAGATGAAAAGCTAGCTAAGGGGTTCATCTCCACGTATGTTACACTTGCATAATAAAAAGATTTCCAAATGCATTTCAATAAACCATGAATTCTCAACGCCCCGGGTTAATTAGGTCCGCTTAAATTAACCGTCAAGTTTTCCTTAAGTTAATGAATTGGATGATTGCATACGACAACCCAAAGCATTCCTCACAAGTTCCCTACATGAATTGCATAATAGAGATACAAGCAAGAATCATTAAGCATCATGAAAACTATAAGTGTTGACGAGGCATTCGTTACTATGATTGCATGAAACTTATGCCAAGAATTTGTTTAACGCGATTGTTTATAAGCAACCTCCACTACTTGTGAATATAAGTTCATAACTATTACGTGAAACTCACTTATATTCTAGCGTCATATTCATACATGAAAATTAAGCGTATACTCTCAATAAACATACATAAATAAGTTATCAATCAAACAGTTAAACAAATTGAATCCACAACTTATGAAACGCAATTAGAAGTAATCAAATCAAAATGCAAGCATAAACATATATTTCGAATCCCCCCCTAGCCAAGGGGGGTTTAGTTCCTCATACGTACAAAACAAAGAGAATTGAAATTAAACATTGAAATCAAAGAAACGCCTAAACATTCCAACAACTCAAACTTGAATTGTATGAACGTTTAGGCCCTCTTCTCTTCCTCTTCGTTGTAGCACAAGGTCTAAGGATAGGTTTGGAGGGATGGGGAGTTATGGATGGTGTAGAATGATGTGTTTAGGATAGGGATGGATGTAGGGGACCTCAAGGCTTCTTTTTGGGCAGAAAATATGAAGAATGGTGAAGTATGGATGTGTTATAGAGAGGGGATGAATTTCTGGCGTGAATGGTTGTGTATGAGAGGTGGTAATCTGATCTAGGGGTTAATATGAGTATATATAGGCACTTAGAACCCTAGGGAAATCAGATATGGACTTGAATTAATTAATGGGAGAGCATGGGAGTGCATGTGGCTGATTTGTGGTGCAATGATGAAAGGCAAAGTGCATGTGGCTGATTTGTGGTGCAATGATGAAAAGGCAGAGTGCATGTGGCTGATTTGTGGTGCAATGATGAAAGGATGGAAGTGCATGTGGCTGCAATGGATTAAAGGATGGGAGTGCATGTGGCTGATTTGTGATGCAATGATGAAAGGATGGAAGTGCATGTGGCTGCAATGGATTAAAGGATGGGAGTGCATGTGGCTGAAATGTAGCCTTCTAGAAATCAGGTTTTTAGGCCCCCTTGCAACTCCCTAACTGAATTCAAGCCTTTCAAATTCGTCCATCCTCATGCCACCATGCTTGCACTATCCAATCTTGGCCCAAAAATGCTCTAGAATGCTCCAAATTGCTTCTTTTTGCATACTTTGACACTAAAACCTGAAATTGCACGAAAATAACTTTAAACACTATAATTAACATAGTTTAGCTAATTAAATGCAAGAAAACAAGCTAACTAAGTCGTATAAATATGCTCCTATCATTTGACAAAAAAAAAAAAAAAAAAAAAAAACAAGTCCCGACTCGGGTCCCACATTCCAACATCAAACCCACTTTAAATTGGTATCATTCTCCCATCCCCTTGAGCCTTTCGCCTCCTCCCTCCTCTCTGTTTTTCTGCTTTCCCCAGAAAAGCTTATCGCCCAGATTTACTTCCTACTCCAGAAAAGCTTCCCTAATCCACTGCTCCAGATTTATATCTCACCCAGCCATATCCCAGAATGCTCCACAGTTCACACTTGTTTTAAAAAAATCAAAAAATTAAATCCCTAACTTTTTCAGAATTTCAGAAACCCTAACCTTGAAAATTGGGGATTTGTGGGCTTGCTGATGGCACTGGGGTGACGTTGGCAGGGTGATGACGGCGACGTGGCGACTGGGAAAGGACGATTGACTGAGGTGACGGCGGCTGTGTGTTTTGGCGCACGGGAGAAGTGGGTGAAGAAGGCAGAGGATCGAAGGTATGGTGGAATGTGGATTAAAAGTGGAATCTGGTCTAAAAACCCTTATCCAAACAGCGTTTTTTTCCCAAAAAAAAAAAAAAAAAAAAAGGGCAGACAAGGCGCCTGGGATGCCTTGAGGCGCGCCTCCGCCGCCTCGGCGTCTTCGGCGAAGCCTTTCGCCCACTCCAGCAAAACAGAGGCGTTAGCCTTAACGCCCTAGGCGCGCCCCGAGGATAGTTTTTTAAAACATTGGTATATATATAGTTGCAACAACAGCTAGTGTGATTCCTAGCTATCTAAATAATGGTTCCTGTATAGATCGATGTTTCTTACATTGGTTTATACAATGATAAGCTCAATTACTTGTGTGCTAAGTCACAGATTCGATTTATATGTTGATTGTTTTTTACTGCAAGCTGTATTGCTCTTCGAATTGTCGTAGGTCAGGAACCTGCTAATGGATTTGCTATTTGCTTCAATATAAAATATACAAGTTGTTCTATTGTATCTTGCTTTTGCCATTGTTACATATTCATTTGCAGTTTACACCTTACATTACTGATTCGACGTGCTTCTAATAAAACAGACTTCAGAAAAGCGCTTTTGTAGGAAGGGAAAGTGCATATGATCATAGTAGTTCCTTCTACATAAGCACGCCCCCAGTACCCCTAACAGGCCATTCTTGCGGCCAGTTGAAAATTGCTTTTCTAGAAAGCACTTTCGCTTATTAGAGCTTTTAACCTGCTATGAAAGGGACTGAAACACCTGTCCAATGGTTTTAAAACATGCTGCCTCATGCCTTTGACATCCAGAGAATCTTGAGTTACTAAATATTTTTTAGGGTATTGTTCTCTTTTTCATATAATAAAACAAAAATTGATGCCATAAAAAAATAACAAATGAAAATCGCATAGAAATGTTAAAAGAAAATGACAAGTCCTTCCAGATGATTTTAAACTTGATTTCACAAAATATTTAAATATAAGAGGCAATTTGATTAATTGATTTTTTTTCCACAACCAAAAATGATATTTCATCCAAATCCATTTCAAATATAATATGGGAACGGCACATCCCATGCCTATGATCTCAAGGTCAAATCACATTTTTGGTCCTCTAATTGGAACCTATTTTTCAATTTGGTCCCTATCATTTTAATTTTGGAAATGTAGTTAAGTCCCACAAATCTGTAATTGTTAATTTGTTATTGTTATTTTCGTCAACTTTGTTAGAACTTCCGTCAAAATGAGTTGTGTGCCACGCATGTGAGACTGAATCAAGGAGAAAATATGGAAAATCAAATGAGAAAAAATATAGTGCTGGTCCCTTAACTTTAACCCAATGGAGAAGTGGTCCTTCAACTTTAACACAATTGAAGAAATAGTCTCTCAACTTTAACCTACTTAAAGCAATGATCCCTCGATTTTAACCCATTTGTAGTGATGACCTTCCAACATGACTTATTTTGACAGAATTCTAAAAGAGTTGACGAAAATGATAATAGTTACACGTTTTGATGAGTTAAGAAACCAATGATCATGGATTTTTAGTTGAAATACCATATTGCTCCAATTGGGTTAAAATTGAGAGATAATGCCTCTTACTCTTGTACTATCTAGCCTTTTCATGGTTTTAATGAAATACATGCCGTCTTTATTCAAAAATTATATATTGCCTCACATCCATTAAAAATTCATTACATAAATTGACACTTGCTGTCAAATTTAACAGCAAAAAGCTTTGCCTTCAATTGGCTCAACGCTATGTAAGAAACTAAAGGTTCGGTTAGAAGAGTTTGCTACTATTTTTTACTGTTATATGTTTATATGGTAATTTTAACATTTCTTTTTAAAATGCTTTTAACATTTTTCTTTCCTAAATGCTTTGAATTTTGAATCAAAATTGGAAATGGTGTTGCTACAAAATGCTCGTTCACGTGGGAATTGGGATTGGATTGGTATTTGTGCAACGTTGTCTACCTTTACTCAAAAGTCATTTGGCTTTTATTTCTTCAAATGCTTTGAGCTTTTGAATTAAAAATGCTGCTACTAAATGCTCAAAACAATGTTGTTTTGGTCAATTTTTATTTTTATTTTTTTATTAAAAGTCATCTTCTTTCTCCTTCTGTTTTGTAGAAGGTGCACTGCAATCAGCATTGGTGGTTGTTGGAGGTTCTCATAGCCACTTCTTCGAGCTTTCGGATGGTTCCTAAATCACCCCGGTCTCTTAATAGATTCGTCTCTGCCTATAATTAATTTTCAATTTTTTTCGAAAAATAAAAATCCCTTCCTTTTGAAGCTCTCTAAACAATGAATCAGGAATATAAAGAAAATTAGAGAAGCATCATATCATGCATCTTGGGCACCCCATATACAGATTTATTAATAAGTCCAACTTGCCATACATGTATATAGAGAAAGGACTTAAAAATAGTGTGATTTGGGTTGGGCCACCAGAAACCATATAAAAATAGTGCACAATATGAATATCGTAGAACATTCTTAAATAAAATTACAAATCTCCTTCCTTGCATAAAAATTTCTCAGCAGTTTTTTCTTTTAGCATTTCTTCTAAAAAAACTTAGGCAGACAAAGTTACCCACCCTCGGCACCGGGTTTCTTTGACTTGACGACGCGAAATGAAAGACGAAACTCTAAATTATAACTTTCTACTTAAGCTAGAGCAACAACCTAATAGTGATTTGATTTATTAAACCCAATCGAACCAAACTATACTGCTTGAACCGTTGTTAACCAGTTCCGATACAATTTAATGAATAAACCAACCAAATCAAACTATACTTGATGTTTTTTACATTGCTTTATACAATGATAAGCTTAATTACTTGTGTGCTAAGTCACAGATTCGATTTATATGTTGATTGTTTTTCACTGCAAGCTGTATTGCTCTTCGAATTGTCGTAGGTCAGGAACCTGCTAATGGATTTGCTATTCGCTTCAATATAAAATATACAAGTTGTTCTATTGTATCTTGCTTTTGCCATTGTTACAGATTAATTTGCAGATTACACCTTACATTACTGATTCGACGTGCTTCTAATAAAACAGATTTCAGAAAAGCGCTTTTGTAGGAAGAGAAAGTGCATATGATCATGGTAGTTCTTTCTACATCAGCACTTCCCCAGTCCCCCTAACAGGCCATTCATGTGGCCGGTTGAAAATTGCTTTTCTAGAAAACACTTTTGCTTATTAGAGCTTTTAAACTGCTATGAAAGGGACTAAAACACCTGCCTCCAATGGTTTTAAAACATGCTGCCTCATGCCCTTGACATCCATGGAATCTTGAGTTATTAAATATTTTTTAGGGTATTGTTCTCTTTTTTCATATAATAAAACAAATTGATGCCATAAAAAATAACAAATTAAAATCCAATAGAAATATTAAAAGAAAATGATAAGTCCTTCCAGGTGAGGTTAAACTCGATTTCACAAAATATTTAAATATAAGAGGCAATTTGATTAATTGATTTTGTTTTTTCCACAACCAAAAATGATATTTCGTCCAAATCCATTTCAAATATAATATGGGAACCGCCGCATCCCATGCCTTTCATATCACATTTTTGGTCCTCTAATTGGAACCTATTTTTCAATTTGGTCCATATCCTTTTATTTTTGGAAATGTAACATTTGTTATGTTAGAAATTAAGTACCACAAATCTATAATTGTTAATTTGTTATTGTTCTTTTCGTCAACTCTGTTAGAATTTCCGTCAAAATGAGAAAAATTATAGCAATGGTCCCTTAACTTTAACCCAATTGGAGAAATAGTCCTTTAAATTTAAAACAATTGGAGAAATGATCTCTCAACTTTAACCCACTTAGAGCAATGATCCCTCGACTGTAACCTAATTGTAGCGATGGTCCTTCCAACATAACTTATTTTGACAGAATTCTAACGGAGTTGACGAAAAGGACTATAGCTGCACGTTTTGATGAGTTAAGAGACCAATGATCATGGATTGTTAGTTGAAAGATCATATTACTCCAATTGGATTAAAATTAAGGGATAATTGCTACAATTTTCTCTTACATATAATATCGGAAAGGCACATCCCATGCCTTTAATCTCAAGGTCAAATCACATTTTTGGTAATTCGTTACCAGGCCAAAAAAAAAAAAAAATCACATTTTTGGTCCTCGAATTGGAACCTATTTTTCAATTTGGCTCCTAATCATTTTAATTTTGGAAATTTATTATTATGTTAGCAATTAAGTCCTTCAAGTCTATAATTGCTAAGAGAAACAGACAAAATGATTAAGTGTTGGGTTGATTGCAAATGATTTGGAATTTTGGAGAGTAAAAAATGCCTTCACACATGTGGTAATTGTATATTATTTCCCCATCGAATCTAATGTACTAATTCGACATAATTTAAGATTTGGACTCGATTGCAAACTAAACTAAACTACGGAGCAAAAATGGTGACTATTAAAGTGATACGAACCAAATTGGAAAATGAATCAAACTACAAGGGCAAGAAATGCAACTTAACCTAATTAGGAGCACACAAAAAATGGCGTTTTTTTTTTGGAAAAAAAGAATGGCCGTATCAAAGCACAAATTGGCATGTTCGACAGAAAAAAAAGAAAAGAAAATAAAGGCACAAATTAGCATGGTGATTGATGAGTCGGTAGGAACTTGACACAAGACATTCAAAACGACAAAAAATTGTACGATGAAATACATATATTATATAAATATACAATATGTGTGTGTATACATATACGCACAAAGTAGAGTGTGTTCCAATAGATTTCCAAGAATTTGAGAAACCCAGCAAAACTCAGTTTTCCAGAGTGAGAGTTCTACACTCCTCTCTTCCATTATTCTTCCACTCCAGCCATGTCTCTGGTTCAAGGCAAATGGATCAAGGTATGTTCCCTTCACCACTTTCTTTCATCTGTTGTATTTTGGATCATCAGCTTCATTTCAAGGATTTTGATAAACCCTAATTAAATCAGGGCTAGTCAATTGAGATTTTGAAAGATTTTAGTTCTTTTTACAAAATTAGGGGTATATATTCGGTAGGATATTAAGTAATTATCTGAAAGTCTAGATGTATTCAATCAAGATTTTAAAAGAGTTTATAACGGTGTATTTAATTAAAAATTAATTTTAAAAAAATTTAAAAAGTTGGGGAATTCGAGAGAATTAAAAAAAAATTCATTGCGCATTTTAAGTATTCCCAAATTTCATCTCTCTTCCTGAAAATTTTGAGGCAATCCACTCAAAATTTTTAATGAAATTTCTAAAAATCAGTTAAACTCCAGCAAAATCCTTTATAATTCACTCAAAATTTTACCTAAAATCTTCCTATATAGTTTTAGGGTTAAAGATTGGATCTTTTTACATAATCAGCTTATCTTGGTTATCTCCATCCTTCCTTAAAATCAATGAAAATACTTGAAAATCTTCATGATTTGATGTAGAGGTTACAACTATAATATGTTTTAATAGATTGGATCAGACTTTAGATACACTCTTTTTGGTGATGCTAAACAGAATCAAACTTTTAACTTATCTTAATCCTAACTTACTACTCTATAGTGAGAGATTTTGAGATAACTCTTTACATGTTTAGATCTACCACCGAGGAAAATTTTGAACACCCGGATGAATATCTCATTCATTATGTCAATGTATACACCAGATGATAACGCAAAATCTCATATGTGTCATCAGATTATAACATGTACTATAATCCGAATTGATATATAGTTTGTGGCAACATGTGACTTTGATGCTAGCATGACTTCCATTTCCCCACCAATTTTAACATATTATCTGCTTGTTTCCATTTACTTGGTTAGATGCATCAAACCCCTGAAAGTTTCTTCTGCATTTGTCCAATTAGTAATACTGTATCATTGTGTCAGCTTGATCAAAAGGGGACTGGTCCTGGTGCTAGAAGCTCACATGCCATTACCCTAGTAGGACAGAAGGCCTATGTTTTCGGAGGCGAATTCACGTCACGTGTCCCGGTAGACAACAAGCTCCATGTGTTCGATGTCAAGGAGCAGACATGGTATGTGACTGAAGGAACCGGGGATGTCCCACTGCCACGTGTTGGTGTGACATTGGTAGCTGTTGGAGAAATTATTTATGTATTTGGAGGTAGGGATAACATAATGAGCTCAATGAGCTCTATTCCTTTGACACATCCACACACAAGTGGACTCTAATTTCAAGTGGGGACACCGGGCCCCCTCACCGGAGTTACCACTCAGTCACCTCCGATGACCACCACATATACATCTTCGGCGGATGTGGTGTTGCCGGCCGCCTCAATGATCTATGGGCCTACAATGTCGTTGATCAAAAGTGGATCCAATACCCAAATCCGGGTGACAACTTGAAGGGGAGGGGTGGGGCGGGCCTGCTAGAGGTCCAAGGAAAAATATGGGTTGTGTATGGCTTCGCTGGAGAGGAAGTGGATGATGTACATATCTTTGATCCAGCCCATGGTGAGTGGGCCCAAGTTGAGACAAATGGCGAGAAACCAACGGCTCGGAGTGTATTTTCTACCGTAGCAATCGGTAAATACATAATCATATACGGTGGTGAAGTGGACCCTAGTGACTTGGGCCACTTGGGTGCTGGGAAATTTGTTGCGGAGGTTTATGCACTGGACACAGAAACATTGTTGTGGAAGAAGTGGGATGATGGCCTGGGCTCAAGCCATCATCCCGGCCCTCGCGGGTGGTGTGCGTTTGCCCGCGGGCAATGGGAGGGGAAAGAGGGCCTTTTGGTGTATGGTGGGAATTCACCAACTAATGATCGACTTGGTGATATTCATTTCTTCACTCCTTACTTGGAAAATGGTAAGTGATTGGATTAGACATGTGATGTATGAAAGTGATGGTGATAGTGTCATGTGCTGGAAATATGGAATTATGGGTTGTGTTTAAGTAAGTTTGTAATAAGATCTAGACATGACATTGTGTTTGTGGGAATGAGGTTGTATTTGGTTTTTAATTTTCTCTTTGGTAGTGTGGTTTGTTTTTCTTTGATGTAATATAGATCTGTAGAGAATCTCGTACGAATGAGTAAATAATTACTTAAGTTACAAGTCTCATATCTAGTAGAATTTGATTAAGTTTGATATTTGGGAGAAATAGATTACGCCAAATGTAGTGTTGTAAACTATCATGTGGTATCTTAGTTTAGCAATATTATGTTATGTAAAGAAAATTTACACATAAAATGTCATCAGCTAAGTAAAACATCACGTTGACGTGAGCTCGTTCAATATAGGTTAGTCTCTTATTTACACACAATAAAAAATAAGGAAAACTAATGAAAATTGCTTGAAAATTTTGAATTTTAACGATAAAGACAAAATAAAGGACAAAGTGAATAGTACCATGATTGATTTTCTAATTTAAAAATGTGGTTTTTTGTTAAAGTGAACAATACATGGAGTTTTTCGTTAAAGTTGCTTAAAATATCTTGAACTTATTTTGCAAGGGAAATAAAATACAATATCCATTTCAATAAAAAGATAAAATTACAGTGGCCAAATTCAAATCGAGGCAAAAAGAACAGGCCAGAGATGCAATTTTATCAAACGCGAGGGCTTTTCAGAAAATTCAACTGCCGGAGAAGGCGACAAGGGTAACGACTTCCAGCAAACGAAGATCCAGTTTTCTACTCAGACCCGCCATCGATACAAAGCTTTCTTCCGGTCTCCTCCGTTATGGAGAGGCACATCGAGATATTCCTGAAGAGGCTCTCCTACGTCGCCATCCTCATCGGTACCGTCACCTTCGTCTTCCTCCTCCTCAAAATCCCCGACACCTGCGTCGCACCAGGTTCTCCTCCCAAGCCCCACCTCCGCTTCCCCAAATCCTCCTGCGACGCCTCGCCGCGCCTGATCCTCCCTCTCCACAAGAAGAACAACCGCCTCTGGTCCACCAAGACCTGGCAGAACAAGGTCCACTCCTTCTCCAACTTCTTTCGCGCATTTTATCAAATGGGTCTCCTGCACAACGAGTCCAAGGTCCTCTGCGCCTCAGCCGGCGCCGGCCACGAGGTCATTGCGCTGACCCAGTTGGGTGTCGCTGACGTCACCGGTATTGAGCTCCTCGAATCGCCTCCGCTGGTGAGCCGGGCCGATCCCCACAACTTGCCTTATTTCGATAATGTGTTTGATTTGGGTTTCAGTGCTCATTTTGCTGAGGCATTGTTTCCGAACCGGTTCGCGGCAGAGATGGAGAGGACGGTGAAGGCCGGTGGGGTGTGTGTGGTGGTTGTGAACGAATGCGGGGATGAGGAGATTAGGGAGATTGTGGATTTGTTTAGGAATTCGAGGTTTCTTGGTGCTCTTAATGTTACATTGACTGGATTGAGAATGACAAGGATTATTATGAAAGTTAAGCGCTTACCTTGATTTCCCTGTGGTAATTCTCTATTACATGTTTATTGCCTTTGTTTTCGATTTCGAATTCCTGTTCGTGTGTGAATTAGTAATTCTGTTTAGGATCTGGTGTTAGTGAGCTACTTATGATTTGAAATCGAATTAAGCAACTGCGTAAGAACTCGAACGGATCTAGATATAGTTTGGTACTGTTGTGGAAAAGTATGGCAATGAGAGTGAATGGCTTCAATATGATGTATGCTGTGCTTTCCTCTCAAGTCTCATAATTTCGGGCAATTTACTTTCTCTAGTTGAAATCACAAACACCGGCTTTCTTTTTACGTAAAGATCTTGATGATATATGCAATTGGGGACATTCTACTTGTTAGAAACTAGCTTGGAGTTCTGGAAATAGGCATGTATGCTGAATGTGAATTGATCCATGAACATTGATGATAACATCTTCTTTGGTGGGTTTGGTGATGATTAATGCCGAAGGTTATCATTCACATCGACTCCTGGTTTTTTCTTAAGTCGACGTAGTTGCAGGTTGTTAAAACTCTTATCGGTCTTGAAGCATTCGATTTCACAACTTGGACAGAGGTTAGCAATTTATTACAACAAGTGCTCGTTAAGGTGTTATATATTCTAGTTAATATGCCTAGTGGAATACCTGGATTGTGTGGAGTAACTGATGGATTGACGGATAATTTATCTTTTCCACCCTTTTTCTTACTTTCCTGAGTCGTCGTTCTGTCTTTCGTTAATTTGGATGAATGATGTGCAGATATAAAAATTTTGTGTTCTAAACAGATTTCGGTGTGTGGTATGTGCCTGTGATTCATAGCATTCATCTAACAAATAAGCATGCACCAAACCAACAGTTACTGGATGCTGAAGGCTAACTATTTTATTGAGTCAGTGATACTAACTATTTATTGAGTCAGTGATTCAACTATGCACTGAATCAAATGAGGATTTACACTTCTTATCACATACTGCTTCACAAACCAAAGACAAAAGTACAGCGGTTCATCGTAATTCAGGGTTCAAGTTACTCTAGAACTAGAAGTATTTGTAAGGTGATGTGCCTGTAACTTTGGATTTTGCATGATTTCATATATGAATTGGCTGAGGGGGATGAGACTGAGTTATACTGTTACGGGCACCCGTTGATTAGAAGCCATGTTATCTCGCTGGAGTAGGCAGATGATCCAGCTCAAAAGGTCGGGAGATCCCATGGACAGTAAACCTATTTGAAGAAAAGATATCAGGCGCCACAATTTTCACTCCATTAACGACCAATTCTTTCATGAAATCCAGAGTCCCAGTGAATTCAAGAGGCTGATCATGAAGCAGGGTCATGAGCAGTGTTCTGGCAGGCATCGATTCGAGCTCTCTGGTTGTATACCTCTGAGGCAGAATATGAAACCTCACAATCTTCTCGAGCAAGGGGAAAGGATACGCTTCAAGCTCCAAGCTTGGCGGAAGAAAGATTGTCACAGACTTCAAACCCTTATGATCTCCAAGAATCCGATCAAGAACAGAGTTCAGCCCGACAGCAAAAGAAACGAACCCGTTCGAACTCAGCAATCGGATGATCCGGGACCATTCGACCATGTTCTTGGCATCAGGAACATCAGAAACCATGTTGGAACTCGAATCACAGGCCGGCGATTGGATAATATCCCAACCCTCATTAACATCGCTCGGATCCAAAGCGGAGAACGGGCCAAGAACACCGTGAATCAAAATCGGTCCCTCAAGAAACAGATTCGGGTGCGACACCAACACGTGATTGATTTCCACCGATCTTTCCTTCTCGTCGATTTTGGTGATTGCGATCTTCTTGTTCTGATACAGGGTCGGCAAGCAAGTACCCTGAGTCATGTTCACAAGCTGTTCGAAGGAAAGCCTGAGAGGAGAAGTGTGGTACCGCAGGAGGTTTTTGAGAAGGCGTGGCGGGAGGGAGGAGTTGGAGATGGCGGAGTCTTTGATGGCAAAGAGGGTGTTGTTTGCGGAGGAGAAGAAGAGTTCCGGCGAGAGCTGGAGAAGGGTGGCGATGACGGTGAAGCCAGCTCGTCTCAGAGTTCTTGAGGCGCCGAGGGAGACGAAGTGGCTGATGGGTCTGGATTGGGAGGACACGTCGTTGGGTTGCGACCGCAGAGTCATGGAGATTGCGATGAAGGCCAAGACTGCAGCCATGGTGAAGTAGACTGCTGCGTGCCAGCGAGTGCAGGGAGGCGCCATTGCTGTTCGATTCAAGCGTGGTTATTGAGAGAGAGAGAGAGAGAGAGAGAGAGAGAGAGAGAGAGAGAGAGAGAGAGAGAGAGAGAGAGAGGAATGCTTCGGGGTTTGTGAGTTTGTTGCAGTGGAGGGAAAAACAGAGAACAGTTATAGTTGAATGCAACTGACCAACTGTTTTATGGCAAAGAGACCGAGCTAATGGGCCTATTCCATACAAGGGCTGAGGGAGGCCCAACTCATATGAATTTGAGATGGGCTTTCGTTAAGTGCTTAGAAGGTTTTATTTGAAGTTCAATTCTACTGTCTGTCGGAGTGGTGATTGACGTGGTGAAGTTACCGGCTGAATTTTTTTTTTTTTTTTTTTTTTTCTCCAAAAGAATTCTACTGTCTAGACGATCAGCGTATGTGGACTTCCAGCTGGAGACACAATTGGTTGGGATCAAAGAGGTGGGTGGGACTGAGATGATTTTTTCAGCCCAAACAATTGGAGTATGTGGTTATCTGGTTGTAGACACAATTTATTGTTGGGGTGTTTTGTGCCTACAATCGGACGGCCACCTTACCCACTCGTCCAAACCACAGAACGAGAAATTAGTATTTTGATGAAATTGTAATTTCATATGGCTCACTACTTTATAGAAAATTAAATGAGAGAGAACGTCTTGAATCCTACTTGGATATGGGTCTTTCTCTGAGCTAACACAGGGTGCATGCTTGGATTCACCCTAACTTCAATTTGGCATAGTTTCGAAGAAAATTAGGGTTTCATTATAAAATCAATTGGCAATATAGAGAGTAGAGTAGCACAATCTCTTATAAGCACATGCAAGGTCTCTCATTTCCGGGATTGATAACTCTCAACAAGCCCCTCACATAGGGCGAATTTTCAAACCTAGTACTTGCACAACACAAATCGAGTGATGTGGAGCATATATGACTGTTGGGCTTCACACATGAGACAACTTGCTTTGATAATATGAAGAAAGTTGGAGTTTCTACCATAAAATCAATTAGCAATATATAGAGTAGCTCAATCTTTATAAGCACGTGTGAATAGAGATGACAATTTTAACTGTTACCGTCCGAATGTAATGGATTTGGGTATGAAAGTTTGGGTATATTCTGGATATTGGAAAAACCGTTTATATTATTCAGTTATGGTTTTTGATATGGTTATGGAGGTCCCCAAACTGTATCCATAACCGAATCCAATCCGATTAGTAAATAATATAATACACACACACACACACACACACACACATATGTATGTATTTGTATATCCATTATTCACCGAACCATTACTTTAAGAATATAAAAGTTGCGTTTTTAAGAAAGTAAAGTTTTGAATCAAAATCAATGTTTTAATTTTTATACTCAAATCAACAAGATCCATTCATTGGATCATATACATCAAATGTTTAAGGACGAAATTAATATCTACTAACTTATAATGTCTCAATTGAAAGAATATATTTTTTGTATTGATGAAAATAGATATATCTGTTAACCGATGGATAATCCATTACCCGGTAGGTATGATCATGAATAACACCCGATAGTTATTTTGCAGTTAATTATGGATATAGTTAATTTTCATAGTTATGAGGATGAATATAGCATTTTCGTTCTCAAACCGAACCGTTGCCATTCCTTCCCTCATTTTCCAAAGATTGTTAACTCCCAAAAGTTTCTTCACTAAATTAGTTGGACTTGACTAGAAGTCTGTATCTGTTAGATGGTCCAATCACAATCGCTCGAGTGGTTTTTGTTGGATGAGGATCCTCTCTAGATCTTCTTTGTGAGGATTTCGAAAATCCTCCAATTATACTCGTTCATCGTATATTATGTGATAAAAAATTATTGTAAATATTTTTATTTAAAATTAAATATAAATAATACCAGATGAAAACTGATCGCACAATGTATGATGAACAGATGTAATAATGAGAGTTTTAACGAAAAGCCTGCAGTACTGTTCACTTTAACGAAAAACCACATTTTTACACTAAAAAGTCAAATCTAATACTATTCATTTTACCCTTTATTTTGTTCTTATGATTAAAGCTCAAAATTTTTAAGCACCTTTCGTTAGTTTTTCTTGTAATTAAATGATGATTGGGATCCTCATTTGTTTTTGTTATCCCTTTTTGTTAAAGGTGTCAACCCCAAGAGATTTGTGAACTCTCTCGTATTGAATGAAGGCTAGGAAACGCCAACCTTCCCCTATTCAATATTTTGCTGACTTGGTCAAAGGTCAACGTATTTGTATGTATTATGTACAATTTATGCGAAATTTTTGCTTACGATCAAGGTATATCTCGCTCTTTTTATCGTAATTCGACGAGTGATTTATAAATACATGTCAGTCACCGACCCCATGACACTAACTTTATATACAAAATCATGTGATTTGCCATAAAAATCCCGCTTTCTTGGAGGACTCAAGTTTTTCACGTTCGTGATGCAATCAAACACTATAATTTGGAACCCAATGAGCCATGACACAATCATTTTTTTTTACTTTTCTTTTCTGTTGCAGACCACAAGTGATTTCAAAATAAAAATTGTAGCATCGTATTATCTAGTGAAGATTGCAAAGTACATTTATGAGAATTTCTTTTTCGTTGCTTAGAACGAAAGAAAACAGGTTCACCTTTTATCTGAGAATGGTTTTCACAAAAAATACTTACTCATAATATGGTGTCTCCACGATTAATAATACACAATTAGGATCTATTAAAGCCATCTCCAACCGAATGAGGGTCAGAGGGCTCTCTTTAACCCTATAGCACTCTAAGAAATTATATTTTAATAAACAATGTCAGACCATATTTCATACAATCTCTAACAGAATGAGCCAAAGAGCCATAAGCCAAACATAGCCATGTGACAAAAAACTTCTCCAACCGAAGGGGTCAAAAGGTCATAGGGTAAACATAATTTATTATTTTAATTAAATTAATATGATTAATTAAATTAAGCTACCATATTAAATAAGATTTTCGGGCATATTAGAAGATTATTGAAAGATGTGACCATTTGAAAATTATTGAAAAATTAAAAGAAAGATTATTAGAAGAGAATAGAATGTGAAGAATTGAAATAAAATGAAGTAAGATAATATGTAATGATGAAAAGTATGTGATAAATAGTGTTAAAAAATTCGTCCAAAAAAAAAAAAAAGTGGGCTAGGCTAAAAAAAATGCGTCCAAAAAAACAAAAAAAAAAGTGGGCTGGGCTTATTGGGCTGGCTGGAGATGGCCAGCATGCTGGCCTGATTTGGTGGTTTTGGCCCGATGGGGCCCAAAAGCCCTTTGGTCTAGCAGTTGGTTGGGGATAGTTTTCATATTATTTCGAGCTATTTTTTAACCCTATAACTCTCTGGACGGATCGGTTGAAGATGACCTAATAGTAAAAAAATGCTACGATGGCGGTTAACCTATTTCTTAAAAAAACTTATCTTTCTATAAAGATTTCTAGAATATCTACATAATATTTACGTGCTAAGAGAAATTTCGAGAAAAAGTTTGATAGCAGTGAAGGATTCCCTCATCCGACTTATACTTTTTTGATAAATACAATATAATTTCATTAAAAGTTAAGAATATGCTACTCAGTACAGGAGATGTACAGATCTTTCTCAGTCAAATCACAAATCAATGAGAGAGTTTCATTAAGCCATGTACAATCACTTCCGTAGAGGGCAAAACGAGCAAGCCTATGGACAACATAGTTAGCTTGACGGTGAACGTGGGATGCGGTAACTTCAGTGATCAAATGCAATAAGAATTTAGCATCTTCAATGTTAGGTCGGGTATTAGACATATTCATAGAAGACATCTTTATAGCAGAAATATATCATCTGAAGCAAATCACTTTCCAAACGAAATGTTTTGTAAACCCCTTTCGATCGCCATCAAAAGACCATCTCTAATTGCCAATGCTTCAATGTGAATGGGAGAGAAGACATCGCCGAACATCCTACTCGCAGCAGGCACACATGTTCGATTTGAATCCCGAAATATCATTCCCACACCACCCAGATTAGTTTCCATACACATTGAGTTTGATAATTTCATCGAAATCCCAAATCTAAGAATAATATTCACATTTATAATTAATAAACCAATAAAATAAATTTAACTAAACTAAATCACTAATTCTGTTTATCACCGTGTATATGTGTGGGTCAAAATCATCCCTTTACACTAATCCTCATATAATCCATCAGGAAACCTTAATTAATCACTGAACTCCACCCCTTTTTCTGGTGACCCTGATGTAGCAGAAGACAGCTGCAAAAATGGTAGTGACAAGCCCGCCAATAATAATACCTCCACCGGCCACCGACTTATCAGCTTTCTTTTCACTCTTTTCAGCAGGTCCCAAACGCCGCAAAGATGGAGCTTCAGCCACCACGCCTTCTTCCATGCTCTCACTATCCGACGACGGCTCTGCCGCAATGGAAGCAGAGTGATCTGTGTCGGATTTCTCGGTGGCTATTGCAGAAACCAGAAGGAACCCAGCAAGGACGAGGCAAATCAGACCAAGTCTAGCCATTTGGGTTGAAAGTTTGAGAATTTCAGAATCTGGGTATTATTTGGTCCGGAATTTGATGCTTTTGGATGCTGAAAGATTGAATCTTTGGTTGTGGCTGGGGGAGATTTGGGATGAGCTGGGGGGAAGGGGGGATTTTATAGAGGGGGAATGAATGGTGTTTGGAGTTTCTCTTCTCTCAGTTGCTGCTCAAGGGAGTTTGGTGTTGTTGGGGAGTGGGTCCCATGTGTGATGTGAGAGAGAGAGAGAGAGAGAGAGAGAGACAGAGTAACTATTTTTGGGGTGGGAGGTGACTGAGGTCCGGTGGGGATCTGGGAAAGATCTGATACGCGGGAAGAAAGAAAATAGAAATAAGAGTGATTCTCTGTGCGTGTTGAAAAGTTGTTGAGCAGGTGAAAGCTTACTGGGGCACGAGACAGAGAGAGAGAGATTTTGGACAAGTACAAAACGACATGCAACTACAACTGTGTTTAATGTGTGCGCTCGAGACTAGTAGTAGTGCTTTGTTTGTGGACGGTGGGGAGGACTTTTTCGCTTTGGGAAAGAATGTAAAGGGAAAATGTGGAAAGAAAGTAAATCGATCTATCCCATCCGATACACTATCTACCATGATTTATGGTGCGTGTCAATTCATTCAAATTATATTGTGTATTGGATCTAATGCATTAAGTGTAATGATTCATATAATATATAAATTCATTCAAATTACATTACGTAATTTTGTTGTACGCTTCATGACGAATTAACAGTTGTATACACATCATAATTTGGATAAACTCTGGCTATAAGATGTTTATGGGTGTTGATGACATTGTTCAATGTTCAGGGTATTTAAGTTTTGAGCTCTTTTCAGTGGTCTTAAGATTGTTAGAGATTGCTAAATTGCTTCTTTTCTGGTTGAGGTGGATTATGCACTTATCCTTTCACTTGTTTTAGAAAATTATACTTGCACTCGTTCGTTGCTACTTGCTAGAGTTCACGAATTGTTGATATGAATTTCTCATCGATAAGAAAAAGACATTGCATTGACTACTATCTACATTGCCAATTAATTATTTAAAAAGAAATATTAGCTTTTTGGCTACGTATGCCTTGGCATGGTAAAGTCAATGTAGGGGCTATGTAT